CTCTCTCTCTCTCTCACACACACACACACACACACACACATACACACTGATGAGATGAGAAATGTCTAGCTAGGCTTCTGGAAACCTTTTACTTACCACGTCTCTTGGCAAAATGATTGATGTCTCTTTATTATAATAAAATGTCACATTTCTATGCCTATGACGCAGTGTTGCATGAGCTGGAATCTCTCTAGATGCTTGTGACTTCCAACAACCTCCAGACAGAAACACAGTCAAAAGGTGTTTTGTCGAAAGGGTATCTTGGTGACTGAAAGGCCAAGGAATGCCAGAAATCACACCGTGCAACAGACCTGATACCGTAGATTTAGTGACTGCTTCTAAGCCAGGATGGAAAAGAGACCAGGCCATGATGGTCTGGGCTTTACAGGGCATGTGGAGCACCGGCATAGGGAAAGTCTGTAGCTGTGGTGATGGTGGAAATGTCATATTGGCTATTAGTGATGGCTGCCACAGACTCTGAGTCACTGGAGGCAGGGTGGGGGATGGGGAGACACCTGGTTCTGAAATGTGGGCAGTTCTCAGTTGACCAACACAGAGGACCTTAAAGTTTGACAGACTGAACCAATAAAATACACTTAGGTGGGGTAATAGTTCACTACTTTTAAAATATAAAAATAACTTTACCTTTTGAAAAAAATTACACAACCCACTTACAAAGAGCCCAATGTATATAAGAGAAGCAGAGATAAAAGTAACACTCTGATATGCCATTGCCTGTGACATCATCAGCAACACATTTGGATTTTCGTGGGAATAGAATCCTGTATTTTCAGTATAAAGTATGGAAAATAATTTTTCTAGAGTCAATGAAAAAATAAACAGAAGTAGAATCTGTGAGATCACTTAACCTTCACATAAATGTTTCTTCCTTCCACGAGATATTTTCCAACCAAAGGCCCCTCTAAAATTAAGGAAAGTTGCTGAATCAAACATTGTGAATAGGGAGTCATTATCTCTGATTAAATGCACAATTGGATTTTAGACAGTGCCAGCCAATTACCTGCAGAGACACATAAATGCATTAGCAAGTTCATTCTTCCTATTTGCATTAATATCCTGTACCCATAATTCCCAATGCCATTTAGCATCTGTTTCCTAAGTAGATCTGCCCAATGCTACAACACGGGGCAGAGTCTTCATTTCTGCATTACTCGTTTGTCCTCTTCTCTGATGTTTTGCTACCGAGTAATTTTCTGCAGAAGGCTGCACCAAGGCTGTGGGCAAGCCTCACTGTTTCCTTTACATTTGGAAGCAGGATCAGCTTCACTACAGTACACCCTGTGTGGCAGTGCAGGGTCTCATACTGAGAAAGATCTCCCACTTGGGTTAATGTTCAAATGTTACTGTCTTGAAATTCTCATTTTTTAACCAACAGCATCTTGTTCTCATTTTTGCTTTGGGTTCCACAAATTATGGGGCTACTTTTGTTTGAGAGATGTTTGGACATAGTAGTTCTCCATCATTCTTTCCATCAGAACACAGTGCAAATACCTTCTGGAATGCCGCATTACCAAGACAGATTGGAAGTCAGCCAGGTCCCCTCTCTGTTTATGTCATTTGAGATTGCTGCCTGATGCCTGCCACAATCCTTTATCATTGAAATACTGCCACTTGACCAGAGCATATTTGTGTCCAGCATTCTATATCATGGGTTTTGAGACCAAATATGTTCCTACCTCAACCTGCAGCTGTATTTCAGAGAGCTTTGTTCCGTAATATACTTAGGAACTTTTGGGTTAGAAGAGAAAGAGGCTGACCAGTTTCCATGTGTTCTCCATTAAGTACTTTCTTCCCTTGGACTTCAAATTTCCATCCTTGGGAGTTCAAAAATCTCTTCCCCCAGAGCAAGCAATGAGATCCCTCAGACAAGCAAAACAGAACCCAGACCCTAAGTCCCTGTCCAGTTAATTTATGGAAGAATTCCTTTAAAGGGCTGTGTGTTGTTGCTGCCCTGGCTATGGAGTGCTGGTGGCT